ACGGCCACATATTTTCACCAAAATATGTTTACTTGGTCAGAACAGTTGCATAAAAGAATATCATGGTATTGCGACGAGCATATTGTGGTTTGATCCTGAAACCTTAAAAACTTCAAAAATAATACTAAGAATTATGACCATCCAATGTTTACTCGTTAATTTAAAGCCAAAGTTTCTCTGTTCATGAAGCAAGTAGGAAACCATTGTACTATTAATGCAAAGGGACCTTAGCATTTATTACTACTTCTTCTAGGGAACTCTAAATGTAGTCAAAATATAAAATAAACAGACCAATATTGTTATAGAAAGGTTTAAAATTTGGTATTATCACGCTCGATAAAAGTATAATTAGCGCTCTTCCGGGCTGCATGAATGCGCCTATAGTATTACTCTTCACATTGCTATTAAATTTTAAATGCGAAGCATTTCTTAGCGCACTTCGGCGACCTTGAGCGCATCTATCTATCTATCTATCTATCTATCTATCTATCTATCTATCTATCTATCTATCTATCTATCTATCTATCTATCTATCTATCTATCTATCTATCTATCTATCTATCTATCTATCTATCTATCTAGCCGCCTATGACATTTAGCTCTCCTTGCCATTTGAATAATAGTATCGACAACAAACTTTGTATTGCATAACATGACAGTATGAAAAACAGATTTCACTAGTTATAACATGAAAATCATGATATGTTGGTGATGAATGTCTTGATTTACAATTCATGATCCTGCAGCTCTTGTGGTGGTTTCGTGCGCATGACACGTTGCAAAACTGGTATGTTATGGCATGATTGCATGGCGAACACAAGTGACAGACTCTAACATGAAAATCATGAGATGCTTGTCATGTAACAACATGACCACATGCCACGCTCATGATGCGCTCGCAGCCGTTTCGCTAGTGTTACATATACCAAATTTGGTATTACAGTACGTGACTGGATGACGAAAGTATGCGACTGGTGCAAACTTGGTAATCATGAGATGCGTGTCATGTCACAACATGACTACATGCCACGTTCATGATGCGCTAGTGGCTGTTTCGCTAGGCTTCAGTTATACCAAATTTGGTATTACGGGTCGTGAATAGATGACGGAGGTAAGATACTGGTTCAAACTTGATAAACATGAGATGCGTGTCATGTAACAACATGACTACATGCAACGCTCATGATGCGCTCGCGGCCTTTTCGCTAGCTTCACATGTACCAAACTCGACTATTACGCGATGCGAACGGAGACCTGTATAAATGACACATCCAAACATGATACTCATGGCACGGAAGTCGTGTACGGCATATTTACCTCTACCTTGGAACGTTGTGCTGATTTTGAAGTGACATATCAACACTTCTCATTCGCGCTTTGCATATCATCGATTCCCACAGTTCGTGGGATCTGCCATTTGTTTGCACGCTAAATCCTACGCATTTCAAAGCTGATGCCACATGGAAAGAAGGCTGAACATTTTTTTTTTTTGGGGTGGGGGGGCAGAGATGCAGCTGTCTCTGCACAAAGTTTAGTACTTCGGGTTATGATTACGCCACGCTTCAACGCCAGACCAAATAACTGTTCCGAAATGTTCGTTTCATGCTTGTGCAGAATAGCGATTGATGTAAATTGTCCTTGCGAATAACTTTTCCTAATCCAAAGACATTAAGGCCTTAGGGGCAGTTCGGGACGGCTCTTGGCTAATCTGACAACAAATAAAGCAAAATAACACTCGAAATTCATTTTCAAGACATTATGATTGGAACGATAAATAAGCGAAGTAAGGAAAAACGCAGAGCATTAGAAATACGCCTCTGCTCCTCGCCCAGAGGGCGGTCGTTATGGTGGATACAAAGAATAGACTAAGTGAATTCAGAGCGGTGCGAGAAGAGCACGGAAGTGAGATACGGCGTTAATGGAGGCCCGTACAGTCCGCCAAAGTGTTTTCACGCGTAGAATAACAAACAATAGAACCGCGCGGCCTTTCACAGTTGTGTAAAGATACGAACAAAAGGCTATCCGCGCATTTCCACTAGCCTAATCCGCTTACTTGAAAAGAAGGGTGCCAGTGTGTGGAGATCGATCTTTTATGCTGCTTGGTATGGTTCCCGTCATACCGGCTGTAAAAAGGAAGGCCAGAAATACGGCCTGGTCGGCCGTGTAAGGGCGTGTCGAGTGACCGTCCTTTGCACAGCAGTTTCACGGGAGGGCGGCTGCCAACGGGGATGTGGGAGTGCTTCCGGTTCGCGAAGTGAGACGAAGGGTGTACACGACGACCGTGCCAAGAGCAGAAGCGTTGTGTGCATCGTGTAAAGGGTTATGCCCGTGTCATCCGAGCTTTTTTGTCCCTGGTATCGCATCTTGCAAGTTCGCGACACTGACTTCAGTGTGTGCTTAGAGTGTGCGCGGTATTGTATTTAATTACCGCAACGGCGTAGTCTCTGTGGATATCCAGCCTGCGAGAAAGCCTAGAACTCATGAATTAGCGTTGTGGCGAAAGAGCTTGTTTGGGTGCACTAAGTCTCCGTAAGCACCTTGGTTTTCGTGCCCGAAGGCTGTCCGCTGTAGTGTGCTAGGGTACGGCACCTTTGCGAGGTAACAGAACGGCGGCTTATACGGTGATGGTCTTCGGTTATGCCACTACCCGACGAGAGTTTCGTCGCTCCGGTGTCACTATCCAGTTTCGCGCGCTTTCTTCAGTGTGGTATCACTGATTGACAATCCGCTGCAGTTCTTGATCAAAGATTAGGATGAACTGTATGTGCAGCAGGAAAGGCTATAGTAGTTTTGGGTGCGTATTACCTCCTGCTGCGAAAGCTAACGTAACAATAGAACTGTGCTGCTAACGAATTCGTTTGGTTTGACTAACTCTGAAATGCATCCATAGGTTGGCCAAGACATTTAGACCGACACGTCACCTTTGTTAGCTTTATTCAAAATAGCGTAAGGTTCTTCGAACGCACGTACGCATAAAAATTACCTAAAAGCGAATGTGGCTGAAGTGCAGCAATTCACAAACATATGTGCGTATGAGTTCACACAGAAGGCGTGCTCATATGCGTTGGTCGCATTCAATTGCCCCTTGTAAATGCACAAAGTTACTCGAGCAGGGCGTTTAATTAATGAAAAAGGAAAATATGCAAGGCAGGGGGGGGCACTTTGGCAGATATTTTTCATGTGCCTATCTAATGATATCTTCGCGTTTAACTCCCAAACCCACAGTATGATTGTGAGAGACACCGCAGTGAAGATATTTTTCGATTTTCTCCATTTGGTGGTTTTTAGCGTGCACAGGTGTCACACAGTACGCAGACTTCAAGCATTTAGCCTACATCAAAACACAACCGCCACGGTCGGGATCGAACAGGTCATCTTCGAGGGAACAGTCGAGTATCTACTCTACTGTTCATTCCATACAATGAACCATACAATGAACTGTCCAGTCTGGCAGCCGCTGATTTGCGCGCCTGCCAACGCACGCACATAGAGCATCATTTTCAAGTGTTCTATGGCTTACTCTTTGGGGTTGACTTTGTGTTTCAGCGCACAGGTGAGGAAGTTCTCAGTAGCCACTTCGATAAGATGCTATGATTTAGCTCTGCTACACCAGCCGCCACTACAAACATAACTGCTACAAACAAAGTTTGTTCTTTGAATGAACGTAGATAACTATTTCTAATATTTATCCTTACAATTTTTTACCCTTATTCTTAATAAACTTACGTCCCGATAGTGGTGTCATCTAATACAACTGTTCGTTGGAACCATGACCCCGAATTTCGTACTACGTTCGTTGTTTCGAATGCATATGCTAAATATTCGGGAAATTATAAGCAGCCGTTGGATAAAAGGTGCTCTAAAGTGTAACCATAGTGCCATGCGCTGAATAGACAGCTTGAGTTGTGCGTGCGCAGCCGTTCTTGTGCGCATACGAACATCGCTCTGCCTATTTTAGCTATGTTTTAGCGCTAACACATTTAATGTTAAATGAACCTATTTGTTGCACATATTTTTCCCTACTCGTGCTGTCACAGATGAGATGTTTGGAGTTTAATTTCCCTTTATAAATTATCGTTATTAAATATAATAACCTTGGTTCACCAGTTATATGAATTGAGGTGTGCTGTGCCATTGCATAGGCGTCATAGCTGTAAAAAGTTACATACAGAAATGCGAGCTGGACAAGCTGGGACGTACAATTTAGTACGGTACTGAGCACAAAAAAGATGGGTGATTGATTTAACGTCCCCAAACCACCATAAGATTATGAGAGGGGCCGTAGTGGACGGATCCAGAAGTTTCGACCACTTGGGGTTATTTACGTGCACCCAAATCTGAGCACATGGGCCTACAGCATTTTCGCCTCCATCGAAAAAGCAGCCGGTGCAGACGGGATTCCTTCCCGTTACCTGCGGGCCAGCAGCCGAGTACCTTAACAAATAGATCACCATAGCAAGGCTGTCTTTTTGCCGGAATAAGTTTAGGAGAGAGAGAACAGCCGATAAGTTTGGAATGAATTTCCCGTAGTAGAGTAAAACCAAGCAGTGAGTGAAGCTGATGCTTATCGGCTGGCGCCGCTGCCTTGGCATTAACGCCATGTTTCTCGCGTGTTCGATGGATGACGTGCCTGTTGATTACATGGGCCAAGTACACTGGCTCATTGCGAAAAAAATCGCACTTTGTTGCCTTTACTCGAATGCACCGCTACGACAGCCTTTTCAAAACGGCATTAAGGTTGTGCGGATGCTCTTCTCTTGACTGGTCCATAATTATATTTATCCCAGTAATTCCCAGTACCAGAAAACGCAAAGACAATTAGCAAACAAGTGATGCACTTCAATCTAGAGCACAAATAGAGATACAAAAGCCATAGAAAAGTTAAGAATTTTTTTTTATTAGAAGAAACAGCTTGTTGCACATATGCAACACTGGGCATAAATGTCATAGACTACAGAAGGGAAGGTAAACTGCTGCTGCGTTTATAATGTTTGGTTTTTCTTTGAAACGAGCCAGACAGTCAAACAATTCTTCCAACTGGCTTGGCAGGGGGATGTTAAGCTTGGTGGAAGCCGGTGAAACAGTTTCTGTCTTTATTCAGGCACAGGTACGTCTGGCATTTTGAGCAAGAAATGAAGGTGTAGCCCCCTGGGCATACCTTGCACCTGTTTCTGCGCTCATTCCACAGTGGCCAGTGCTCTGCTCCATCCTTTCTCACATCTCGTGGAATTTCAGTGAGGACCTTCCTGACAAGTGGGAGATTTTCCTGCGATGGCCGTCCAGGTGGGCGTTTTCTGTAGAGTACCAATCCAGTCGCAAGCTCCGACAGAAAACTACGAAGAGGCATGGTACCGTTGCCTTGCTGTTGTGCATGACGTTTGTGCAGAAACCATGCATTGACTGCTGCCATTTTGACAGTGTGCCAGAATATGTACATGTACCATCGCTTTGCCTGCATCGGAAAGCGATAACTGTAGCACATCATGTCTAGGAGGTCAACACCACCCATCGACATGTTGTACTGAGGCACTACAGCGGGGCACTCAACGGGAATATGGGTCTTCTGCCTTTTATCCCATCTTTTTACGGTTGTCGTTGGTTCGACACCAACACAATTGGAGATGAGTGTCACTGGCCTGTTGTCAAACCATTTTACGACCACCATGTCTTGCTCACCGCAAGATGCCACACAGGAGTCCAATGTGCCACGGCCTTCTTTTTTCATTTCTTTCTCACTCATCAACTTGCATGATTGCAGTCTGTTTTCTCTCACGGTTCCAATGTAGGAAATTTTCCTACGTGTTAGCTCAGTGACCAAATGAGGACTTGAAAAAAAAGTTATCAGCAACAACGAGGTTGTGGTCGTGGCCAGGGAGACTTGAGCACAGCTGGATCACAACTCCTGACCCAAGACCGAGTTCATATCCACTTTGATCACCATAAAAACCCTTGCTGGAAGCTGGATACACGTCAAAGTCATAGCAGAGCCCAGACTCTCCTGCTCGGGCCCAAACCTTGAGACCCCACTTGCACTTTGGCTTGTTTGGCAGGTACTGCCGTATAGGGGACCTTCCACGGAATGGAATCAAAATCTCATCAATGCACGTCTTCTTTTCCTGTGGAATCTTCAACATGTTTTCCCGCAGTTCTGAAAGCCAAGGGCGCACTTTCCAGCATTTGTCTTGCATAGTTTGTTCAGTCGCAGTATCATTGTCGACAAAGTGCAAATGACTCGTTATTTTCTCGAATCGGTTCTGAGACATAACTTGTGCCACAAGCTCGTACCTGCTTCCCTGTTCCCAGTACGCACGTACCTTGTGCATATCCACCAGGCCCATACGGAAAAACATTCCAAGCACAGATGTGAGTTCTTCAACTGTCAAGCCGAGAGTTGTTCCATTTTTCTGCACGTAGTACTTGTTTGTTTCTTCAACTGCGTGTGACAACATCGTTCTGGACACAAACAAATCGAAAAGCTGCTTTGCTGTGAGAGGCTCACAAGGAGGCAAAGGGAAGTCATTCTCGAAACAGCTTTTTGACTTTTCAAATGATGTTTTCTTCCATGTGTAGCGCTTCTTCCCATATGTCGCTTTCAAGCCTGTTGTCGGGGTCTGGGCGGGAACTTCATCCTCGGGCTCCGTGGAAGCACTTTCTTCATCACTGCTTCCGTCAGCAAGCGCCTCATCCTCTTCGTCGGTGCTGCTGTACTCGGATATGTCACTCTGGTTGCAGTCGATGTGGCGAAGCAAGTTGTCATCTCCAAGAAAACGCTTTTTTCGTGTTCTCGGCAACCCGTAAAATGTAGAAGACGTAATTCCAGCCTGCAATAACAATAGAACAAATTAAATCAATTGTAGAAAAGCGAAAAGTCGCAATTCTTGCGTTTTCCTACGGAAAATGGCACTTACACACTACTATTCTCAAGAAAACTGTCACGTTGCATATATGCAACAGTGGTTCACAGGGGCACTACTGCCCGCCGTTGCATATCTGCAACGTGCTAAAAGCAGAAAATATTGCGCTTCAAATAACGTCCGAGGTGCAAAACCACGCATACCGGAAAGATAACGAACATATCTGCTCTACACTTAGGCATCATGGAGTAGCTGTCTGAAAGATTTTATTAGTTATTTCAAAAGAAACATACCTGATCAGCGGAGCCTCCCGCCGGCAAGGGGAACGCCATTTTGTAGACAGTGCTCTGCGCGCAACGCTGCCCCCAGTGGTGAAATTTTGAACTTCCGAGATCAAGAAATACCTAATTCAGAGAGTAGCGTCAACTTTTCGCTATTATCTTGAGAAGCGCGCTATTTGTAGGTAGATGAACTTTGTGTTGCATATATGCAACACGGGGCATTAATGGGTCCATAATGAAGATGTCGTCGATATAGCATAACACAATGTTCAGACAACTGAACACCCTGTCCATGATCCTCTGCAAAATTGCGGGTGCAAAAGCAATTCCGAAATGCAGATGGTTCATGGTGTAAAGCCCCTTGCAGGTGCTTAGCATGGTGTACTCTTTTTAAAGCGGGTTCATTTCTATCTGTTGGTAAGCCCTGCTCAGGTCAATTGTTAAAAATTGCTGTTTCCTAGCAGGGCTGCAAACAACTCAGCGGGCTTAGGCAACGAGTAACGTTCTACGTCGAGTACGGGGTTGAGCGTCAGCTTGTGATCTCCACACACACTTGTCGACCCGCCGCGCTTCACTACTGGAAATACCGGAGTGGCGTACTCACTATTTCTTACTAACACCAACAAACCCATCTGTACCAGTCTTGACAGCTCGTGCTCCACTGGTGCTTTTAGATAAAATGGCACACAGCGGATGGAAAGAAGGAAGGAAGCAACAAAAGGGGGAAGGTAGGGAGATGAACCGAAAATATATCCGGTTTGCTACCCTACATTGGGGGATAAGGGAAGGCGACAAGAAAGCTGAGAAAGAGGGAAGAAAAAGAAAGAAAAAGGGAGAGACAAACAGTAAGTTCACTGCAGCGTCTAGAACACCACCGCAAGTCAGAGGCGTTCACTCGAACCCGTTGTCCTCAAAAAACACGAAAGGGCTTTCACTGGCTTCTGCGCTGTCCAAGAATGTGGACGGTGCTGTATCAGCATCTGCGCAAAAAGGCCGATCATCCAGTCGTCGCAACGCGTTGGCAAGTAGTCGTCTCTCTGAGGCTAATCGACGACAGTACCACAGCAGGCACCCAGCGAGTTTTAAAGCGTTCGGGGTTTCTGCCTTTGAAAATGTGAGCTGTTTTCTCGCTTCGTACGGTTTCTAGCTCGTTTGTGAAAACACCCTTATATTTGTCATGCAAGCTCTGGTACTCGCGCGGATGGTTCACACGACATCTGTTTTCACCTACGTCCTTGCTTCCAGTCGACGCGAATATGCTGAAGCCAGCTGCGGTCAAACTACGCTGAACCACTTTGAGAAAGCACGTATAGCGGTAACCATGGGCACTGAACGTTGTGATAAACTTGCAGAGAAGCAACACCGGATGGCTTCAATGGTTCCCAGTATAGGTTGTGAGCTTCGCGCTACTCCTCATTAGCGGCATTCACGGGGAAAATGAACGGAATCGATTTAGGGATAAGACTGATATGGCAGCTTCTGGGTCGAGTTCCATTCGCAAAAGGCTCCCTTCTACAATTACCCTAAGCATAATATGCTCTCTCGTTTCTACCTCCTTGGCCACCACATTTTTAATGGGTGGTTTCAACGGCTGCAAAACGCTCGAACGCGTGAGGCTGTTCGCATTGCCTTATGCTGGTGCTTCCGACGCCAACACGCTTGATGAATATGCCCTTTCTTGTTACAGAAAAAGTGGTTGCGTTATTGTGCGCGCATGCGCTGGTCTCGTTGTTTGAATTAAAGCGGGATCGTTTCGTTTTTTACCTGTTCAGCAACTGCAGAACGTTGAACTCGCTACGGGGCTTCGAATGCGTAGCTATAGCGTTAACAAGCGAAGCTTCCAAGGTGGTAACATGTTCTACAGCTCTTTGAAACGTCAGTGGCTTGTACTCCGAAAGCAAGTGCTTCTGAACGTCCACTCGCAGCAAACAGCAAACAAATCTGTGGGAGCAGCTCGTTAAGACATGCTCCGAACTCGCAAGTTTGGGCCAGGGCCGGTAACTCTGCCCCGCACTGCGGTATGGTTTCGTGTTCTTCCTGCATTCCAGGATGAAACTTCGCTCGCTCATCTATGTTTGACCGTTCAGAGACAAAGTTGTGACAGAGAAGCTTGCACAAGATTTCCAGTGAATGTGAGGACGGCATTGTTGCGGTGGTCGGTGGCTTGAGAAGCGAGTAAATGTGCGGACCTACTATGTTGATGAACACGTCTACCTTCCATTCATCAGGGACATCATTCGATCCAAGATAAGCGTGCACAGGCTCCTCGTAGCTAATCGAATCGCTTGTCGAGCTATCAAATCGCTGTACTTGCCCCAGCTTAAAACTTGCCATGTCTTCGCACTGACCCTGTCGCTTTGACCAGTAACCTTAGCCGTGTCATCCCCAGCGGCTACTTCATATCTGCGGAATCCGCCACTGAATTCCAGATAACAAACAACTTCTGGCAATAACAAAGTTTTGTTATTGCCAGAAAAACACACAGCGCATCTTTTCAGCAGAGAAAATTTCTCGGTCAGTGAATGTGCGCAACTGGGTTTCGGAGGCAGTTCGAGCAACCTAATTATCTTTGTGTCATCTTTCAAAGTCCGCATGTGACGCAATGACCTCGGTGCATGCAAATATAAATACACACAAAAAACTACTGACACGGAAGGAGCAATGCACAAGAACCTTCGGTATGCTTACGTTGAGAACAAACTCTTTCCTGAATAGCATATAGTACTTATGTCCCACGGCTGCCTCATATTCAGTGCCATCGGGCAGTTCTCGATTGATTTGCGGATTGTCTCAGGAACACCAACTATAGCGTGAAAAGGCAGTCCTCCACACCATTCATGTGTCGACTTTGGCAGCAACTGCCCGCTTCTTGAGCATTCTTAGATGGTGTCAGATAAAGCACACTTATTAAGATTGTGAATGCGGCTTGACAGTTTTCTACTGTAGGCCACTAAAGAATCACAAGCGTTATTTATTACACTGCTCTCACACAGTAGAGTAGGTAGTATTGCAAATTGGCTATCGCTTTTTCTAAACACAACGAATATTTTACCGTTCTTCTGGTAACATGACGGATTTCTACCTTTTCAAGCCATAACAGCGGAGCTGTGCAAGGCGGCGGTTAAAAATGGGTTGTGATCCGCGGGTCAGCGTTGTCGCCCAGAAATAGTTGCATTTATGCGCCAAATAAATATGGCCAGCTCTATCACTCAACTACGACGAAGTGAGGTGTTCGGCTATGGATAAAGTCATGCGCTCTGCAGAAAGTCATAGATAGATAGATAGATAGATAGATAGATAGATAGATAGATAGATAGATAGATAGATAGATAGATAGATAGATAGATAGATAGATAGATAGATAGATAGCAGTAGGGTTGACAAAGGAAAACATTGCAAAAGTGGTGTTCCTTTCATGGTACTCACAGCATTTTTCAGGATTCATCATCATCACCATCATCATACCTGACTACGCCCACTGCAGGGCTTCTGCCCTGATCCGCTAATCAACCTATATTGTGCTTTCTGCCCCACCGTTATACCTGCAAACTTTTTAATCTCGTCAGCCCACCTAACGTTCTGCCCCCCTTTCGTGCGTTTGCCTTCTCTGAAAATTCGGTCTCCTCTTCTAATGACCAGCGTTTATTCTGCCCACGTGCTACGTACCCGGCGCATGTTCATTTCTTCTTGATTTCTACTATGATATCATTAACTCCGTTTCTTCTCTGACCCACTCTGCTCCCTTCTTGTCTCTAGCGGTTACATCAATCTTTTTACTTTCTATCGCTGGCTGCACCATCATCATTTAAGCTGAACCATCCTTGTAAGCTTCCAGGTTTCTGAGCCATAGTTGAGTACCGGCAAGATGCAGCTGTTACATACCTTTTTCTTCGGGGTTATTGGCAGATTACCATTCATGATTTCAGATTGCTTGCCGATTGTAATCCACCCCTATATTTGACTCTATTGATACGGCTCTGCGGTTACTACCTGTCGAAGCAGACATATTCATTTACAACTTCCAGCATCTCTCCCCCAACTCAGAAGTTCTGCTTTCTGCTGAGACTGTTGCACATTACTTTAGTTTTTTGCATAATAATTTTTGGCTTTCTGTGCCCAGTTCAGTAATCATGAGCTGTAGTTTGTCCCCTGAGTTACTCCTCCACTTAAGATGATCAGCGTATCTCAGGTTTCTAATATACTCTTCAATAGCTCTTATCGCTGACTCTTCCCAATCTAAGGCCCTTAAAACTTCCTGTAAACACGCGGTAAATGGAATTAGAGAGATTGTGTCGCTCTGCTTCACACCCTTCATTATTGGGCTTCCGTCACTTTTTTATGAAGATATACGGTTCCTGGTAATACACTGTAGATTTCTTCCAGTATCTTCTTGTAGGGTTTGTCGATATCTTGGTCCAGTAGTGCCTGCATTACTGTTGATGTGCATTTGAATGAAATGCCTTCTTGTAATCAACAAAACTATGCATTAGGTGTTGGTTGTATTCCGCGCATTTCTGTATTACCTGATTGATAGTATGATTATGGTTCATTGTGAAGTTGCCTGTACGAAATCCTGCTTGGTCTTTTGGTTGATTGAACTCCAATGTCGCCAAATGCTATTAGCAATTATTTTCCTAAATAATTTGTAGCGAACAGACAGTAAGCTGAAGGAACATTATCTTTCTCAAGTCATTGATGTCTCCTTTTTTAAGGATCAAATTGATTTTAGCGTTGTTACAAGATTCTGGCTACCCTTCCAGTCAAGAGACACTTCGTGTATAGTGGGGCTGGTATTTTAAACGCAATTTCTCCGCCATCTTTCAGCATGTCCTTTGTTACGTTAGCCTCACCAGTTTCTTTGGCTCTATGTATTAATTCCAGGGATTTTCTTGACAGTCCAGAGCATTCGCATAATAGAGCACATACCTGGCGTTTGAAGAAACGTGTCCCAAGTACTCAAACATTTTCTTATGTGACACGCATCGAGATATGCCAGTCAAATATGTTCGTCTGGCAATATCTTTTCAACTATGTCGCAAGGTCATGTCGGG